GATACAGGTAATACTCCCAAGTATTCAAGGCTTGGTCCATGAAAAGATTCGAGCTAGTGCGTTAAACGCCATTCTCAGCCCACGTTCGGTATAATATTAAACAAAATTTTGGACCGAAAATCACATGAGATACACAACCAATTGAACGTGACTGTTTTGTTAAACTAATTAGATTTAAAGCAATATTCAAATAGTGATCGATTTATGCGGCACTATTTTTGAAAGTGGATATTCAAAACGACATACTCATAGAATAAAATAATAATAATAATAAATAATAAACTGAAGTAAATACTGTACTGATTTTAAATCGAGTACCATCATCTTATAACATAGGCTTTAATAGTACGGACTTTATATCTACCGTTGGCAGAATTTTTTTAATAATCGGAATTTACAACTTGGTATTTGAGTCTTTGAACATGGAATTGTTTCCCATTCTCGATGCAACTTATTTGACAGATGAACCACGACAGATCGAAAGGGAGATATATAACCTATATCCAGCGCCGGTTCAATGGACCGACACCGAAAGAGCCGCCCTCAATGGTAAAATATCTGCTTACGTTGGCCAACCATGGTTCATAAAATCCCATGCCATACAGCAAATGAATGAGTTGGAAATATGTGAGAGAGCATATCAGGAACTGAAGGCAAATGAGGTGTTAACACCTCAGGGTCGTCTTCATCAAATGATACATTATTGTTATCGAACCGCTCGGTTGAAGTTAAAACCCGAGGCGGCGTCACGCCAGGCAGATCTGATCGGAAAATTTCAGTCGAAGATTCGTGAGCTTCGGATGACTTCACCGAATACGGGAATCCCGACGTGCGATCCCCAATTAAGTTTGAACTCGACCTTCCATGGTTTTGAGAACGAACGGGGGAACGATGAGTTCAACTCAAAATACTGTTCCATCACAATATTTACCCTTAACCATACTAGATTCGATTCCAAACCAGAATATACCGACTTCGGTTCAGGCAACTGAACCACGATATACCCTGACCACCAGTACGGTTAATTCAATGCTCAACCAGCCGTTCTCAATTCAGTGTCAGGCGGAACGGAACCAACACCCTCATTACACCAACTGTCTGTAATGGTGTCTGAGTTGCTGAGAGCCCAAACACAGATGCAACAGCAAATGATCCGTGATCGGATTCAGTTGCAGACACAAATTCCTGACGTTCGTGATATGAACCAAACCATGCCAACGACCTGGAATCATACCTGGATACCACCCTCGGTGGATCCTCCGCATGGTTCTTTGGGTGGTCCTTCAACCTTAAATACTCAAACGATCAATACCTACCGTGGTCTTAGAACGTCACATATCCAAGAACCAATTAATCAACCATCTCATTTATATTCGAATTATTCGCTATCCGGTCCACCACAATCACGACCAAATCAAGCCACTATATTCGACGAATCTGCCCAAGCGGATGCAATGGATAGGAAATTCAGAGGCTTACCATCATGGATGGGACGTGCTCAATTCGATGGCGTTCATGTGAACGAAAAATTTCTATCGGTTGAAGATTATTTGGCTATTATTGGCTCATTTCGATATAAGATTGGAGTACCCGATCATGAATTGGTAACGCGTTTGGTACCCACACTTACTGAAGCCGCTCGACAATGGTACTTCACCGAACTGAGAAACTTCGGAGATAATCAAGATTTTTGCACGAAACTTCGTGCTCGTTTCCTCAACAAACATACTTGGGCCCAAGTAATAATGTCATATGCACAGATTAAATTCGATCCACGTTCGCAAACACTGCTGAAACATATCGATGACTTGACATTCCAATTGCAGGGTAATTCTTGTGGTCTGGATGAACGGGACCACCTCGATATCATCATTGGTACCTTATCCGATCATCTGCGTGAACTCGTCCATACTCGACAAGTCCACACGTTGGAGCAATTGCGTGAGTTCGCTCAGCGAATTGCACCACATTCGTTCATTGTTGCCACACCCCGTCCGGAAAGAACCCGTTCGGATAGACAGCGATCAGTGCCACGGGAAATTTCGGCAATACATGATCCACCGGATGTTTCTTAATTTCAATACTAAATCAAACAAGTAAGAAAGTCTAAGTTCGGGCGGAGCCGAACATTAAATACCCGGCGCAAGTATTAAATATACGTGTTTTCACCTTTCCGAAACCTACTGCTAGATGGTAAGCCGGGGTGTATCAATTTTGAGTAAATTAGCGTCCTTCAATTTCGAAATATTGAAGTTTCAAGCATTTCTAAAATTTACCGTTATATGAGAAGCGGCCGTTATTTTAGCCCGATTCCAATAATTTTCAACGTTTTGCTTCTATGTGGCAAGCACAATAACCACACCGAGTTTGGTACAAATTGGTAGAACGGTTACCGATATACTTATATATGATCATAAGTGGGCGGTGCCAGGCCCATTTTCCAAAATTTTATCATAAACGTAGCTATTTTAGAGATATCTTAACCTAATTTAGTATGACAAAAGCTTTTAAATTAATTGTATAGCTTTACACTCCAAACAAAACACTATTTCAAGTTTGAATGTATATTGTTAAATATATTCAATTATTTTTTAATGAATATATAACTTATAACTACATATTTTTTGAGTTATGTCTGCGAAATGTCACTGTCGGAGTCTGAACTTTCATCTGTTTCATCGGTCGCGTAAGTTTTGTCCGAATCCTGGTGACTTACGAAATCTATATGCGGTTCTTTTAAGAAGCTTATGACTTGGGGCGGAAGAGATCGAAAGTTTTTTAGTGGCTTTTGGCGGTAAGTATTGATTAACGGATCAGACGTTATCAAAAGCATGTTAAGCAAATCCCTATTCGTGTTGACTCTAGAAGATTTTCGGGTACGTGCCACTCTGAATCGCCTGCAGTCCTTGTTGCGTGCTTCCTGAGCTTCTTCAGATAGCTGCCCTATTGGCACGATGCAATTTTTTATAACTTCAGCAGAATGCCATATTATCTTATGAACACTGACTGACATAGGATACCACTCGTATGCATTTAGGTACCTTCGTCTGGTTTCCTGGATGAATTTTTGAAAAGCGTCAATACTAATCTCAAATCCTGATGATAAGCAACTCAGTATTATATAAAACCTTTTTATAATTTCTTCTTGTAATCCTGTTATTTCAGCACTTTTGGTGTGGTTCATAAAAAATCTCCTTGCAGTGTTGCCATCATTAGTTGTGCCATAGCCAGGCTTTACGCCATCAATTATTAAGCCCATTTCACTTTTAAAACGAGACTGAATATATTTTTTGCGAAGTCCTACAGAGTCCTTGTCGGCAGTTTGCCTGATAATATATATTTTGACGTCTAATCTGTAAGCGATATGCAGCATACATTCGAGTGTTTTGATCCATGCATGTAAAGTTGATAGCCCGTAAGAATAATATTTAGCATTGGGCTCTTTTGTGAGTTCGATTGTATTCATTTCGCTAGGTTTGGCTCCGCAAATATAGCACGACTGAGTTGATTTGTGGCTTGTCAAATAATTTGCAATCTTACCATCGATCATCGTCAATACAAATTCAAATGTAACCTTAATATTGTGAGGTCCCACAGAACATTCAAAATCTTGTAAGGTTTCAATTTCATTCCGAATTGAATTGAATTCTTCAAGTGTAAAAACTTCAGTTTCTTTTGCGAATATGAATTTCATGGGACGACAAAGTCTAGTCGACGAAGGAGTAGGATTTTGCCAGATGATCTCATTAACATTTGCTGTAACTCGTAGCTGTAAAGGTAAAGGTTCGTAAAACTAAATAGCTATTTCGCGACAATTTTGCATCGACATACAAAGCAAGTGCTTCTTCACCTGTGTACACTCGTTTGGATTTGTATTTTTGTAAACTCTTGTATTGCATTGCAATTTCGGGAGATTCGCTTACACTTTGCATTAGTTTGGCTGCTACACGAAATCCACTTGAACGCTTAGACATATGAGCTGCATACGACAGCTCAGCATCAGATCGTGACTGAAGAAGATCACGTACTTTGTAACGCTTTGCTCTGTCGTCGCAACTTTCAAATCTTTTTGTAGGTCTTCCTCGCTTAGAAGAGGAAGGTAACTCATCCCTCATATTCTGTTCAGGTTGTTTATCACAATTAACTTCCGCCAAAACAAAGTCGTTTTTAAGCCAGA